CAGGCCGAGGCCTCGGACAGGCTGCGGTAGAGGGTGGTGCCGGCTCTGAGATGGGAGAAAGTGGTCGTGTAGAGACTGGCTGGGCCGGGGCTCTGGGCGCCGCGCGCAGACCGGGCGGCCCGGGGGAGGGGGAGGCCCGGCCGCTTCTCGGGCTGTGCGGCCCTGACTCACGGCCTCTCTTCTTGGTGTAGATGCAGGTCAGGGCCAGGTACTCCCAGAGCATCTCCAGCAGGTAGTCCAGGTTCAGCTTCATGCCGCAGCTGCCGGGAGGAAGGGGCCGGTCAGAGCCTCCAGGGCTCCCGGCATCCAGGCCAGTGCGGCCCAGCTGGCGCCCATGGGGCAGCACAACTGCAGGCCTGACGGCGCTTCAGCTGCCAACACCTCTTGTCACTGTCACGTTCACGCCCAGCACAGCCTGCCATCTCTCCGGAGCCCTGTGGAGGGCACAGGGCACCTGTGGCAGCGGGGGTGGCCAGAGGCAGAGAATGACAATGTAGAGCCCACCCCCCGAGTGGCCCAGGGCTGCCCGGCAGGGGTTTCAGCGATGCGGTGACCCCTGGCTTGGTCCTTTGCCCCTGTATTGCCCTGAGTGGGGACCCGCCCTCCCCTGCGATGCACGTGAGCAGGTACAGGGGTGGCCTGCAGGGCCCTGAGGACGGGGCCCGGACGCAGCAGCAGGAGGGGAGCCGAGCTGTCCTGTGGGAAGGACACGCGCTCTCTGCTGCTCTTCGTGGCCGCTAGGGACGCCCGGGAAGCAGACCTCGCGTGGGCCCAGGACCCCCCTCCTCCCCAGTCCCTAAGGTCCCGCTCCCCAAAAGCCAAGCGCCACCGTGACGCTACAGAGCACCTGGGTGGAGCTGGGGAGCAAGCAGGGTGGGCACAAAGCCAGGCTGCCCCGACAGAGGGCCCCACAGCCATGGTGGGCCAGAGTGCAGGCGGCTCCCAGGACCCACCCCTCAGAGAAGCCCCCACCTGAGGACTTCAGTCCCTTCTCCCTCCCAGCGGAGGTGACAGAAGCCACATCTTCCAGGGCCTCAGGAGCAGCGGGCTACAGCCTGGCTCTCTCTGGGGGTCTGCAGTTAACTGCTAAGCCACGAAGCTGCTAACCACTCTCACTCCCAGACCTTGGTGGATGAAGTCCTTCTGTTTTCTTAACCAGAGCTTTACCCCATCACCCACCTGGCCCAGACAGGTTAGGGGGGACTCGGCCACAGTCACCAGCAGCTACCGGGACGGGCTCCTCTACCCCGGGTCGCACAGAGGCCTGACAGATGGACTCCCACTCAGAGAAGGCGGCCACGAGCCTCACCTAATGACCACGCTGTCAGGTTTCCGGGCCAGGCGGTCCACTTCCTCCATTGAGATCTGGTCGATTTTGTTATAAACCTGGGGTTGGAAAGGGGGAGGGGATGTTGGGGAATGAGAGGAAGAGAGCAGTGTGGCAACAGGGCTCTACCTGCTGACTCAAGGATGGGGAGAGGCTGAAGGGGCCTGAGGCCCCCGGCCCCCCAGAGGCTGGGCTGGCACTCTGGGGTGAAGCCCGAGGTGCCTGCGGGACTGAAGCAGCCCCTGGGGTGAGGGCTCCCCTCCCACATGGCTGCCCCGGGGGCTGGCACCACTTACATACAAGCAGGGCATGTACACGCGGTTGCCCATGATCACATCTATGAACTCGTCCGGGGAGCAGTCTTCTCGGAAGA